AAACCAATCAGGTAGAACAGATTGAAAAATGAAAGCTTCAAAATCTGTATCCAGAAACATATTAATAGCAGCTGATGGTGAAGTAGATGTGTACGACATTGTTATTTTCTCTGCCTATTGTTTGCTGAAAAAAGCACAATGATGGCCCTCAATCAGCATTTCTTTTTTGATTTTTAACTCCATTTTGTGCTTTTTTATTATGTGGCTTTTGAAATGTATTTTCCAGCATTATTGAAAATCACTCAAAAACCACCTAACATCATCTAAATCATTGTATATCATGAAATGTAATAAGACATTTTGTTAGAAAACACAAGATTGTATTTTGCATCATAAGACATTATTGGCAAGCAGCATTGCAAAATATAAAGCATAATAAAACACCATTTATAAAACACTTACCTCCAACTCACTGATTCATAATAATGTTGAATAAATTTTTTATAGAATTATTATAAAACACCAAATATCTAACCCAATAAGGCATTGTGAAACAAAAGTATGATGCATCATGAAACATAACTAACCAAGTTGTTAACGTTCCACACTACCAAAAAATGGTTTGGAAGGAAACTCCTATCAGTAATATAAAGAGCTATAACATTTAGTGGAGTTAAGAAATTGAATTTCTTGAAAAACTTTTTGTAAAAATGAAGGGTGTTTCACTAAGACGGATCAAAGTCAGCAGTAAATAAACCTTTTTATTGGTTAAAATTTATTTATTTTTCTATTGGATCATGTTATTTATGTGTGAAAAATAATATTGCCCAATTGTCTGCCAAGGCTTTGGTAACACACCTCTCACAAAATTTTTGATAATGTCTCTGCATAATTTCTTCTCGATCTCACCAATACACCTTATTATCTCATCCTTCAGCTGTTGAATGTTGAATTGTTGTTGGCTTGTTGGCATAGACCTTACTTTTGAGATGACCCCAAAGGAAGAAATCTAAAGGTGTCAAGTCACATGATCATAGTGGCCAACTGACTTCACTGTTTTGAGAGATTATGCAACCTGGTAACTTCTCATTGCATTTCTGTCTGAATGTCCATTTTCGTAATAGACTTCGATAACTTTAACATGTTGTTTAATTGTAAATCTTTTCATGCCAAATAGTTAAGCTGTTAAATCTAAAAGAAAAAGAAAAAATCCTTAGACACTTAAACTTAAATCACATTTAAAATCGGTCCAAGTTATTGGAACATCCTTATAAATTTTGACCGACAATAACATTAATTGTTTGATCTATAAATGTGTAGTGATTTCAAGATAAAATTATCTAATCTTATCATAGATTAATAGATATTTCCTATGGTTGTTGTGCATGGTATCCAAATCTTTCAGAGATCTCCAAACAATCATCTGTATACAACTATTTTCTCAGATCAGTGATTAAAAATGGCTTAACATGAATGAATTCTTTAGGATTATAAAGAAGACACTCCTTTATCAGATTCTATAACTAGCACTACAAAATCCCAAACAAAGAGCTTTATGAAATAACAAAAACCACATCACTTTGCAACTTCTAACAGCAACAACAGCAAAAATGGGTGGCGCATGTCACTAGAAAGGAAAATAATGATATAATTAACATTCTACAGTACTTTAGACAAAAAGTTTGGAAGGAAACTTCCATCAATACTAGAAAGAGCAATATCAGTGGACTTGAGAAGTTTAATTTCTGGAAAACTGTTTTAAGAAAAAGAGTTTATAAATTTCAAATGATAGTAAAACTCTGTGGTAATTAATACTAAATGTTTCATGTATAGAAAGGGTTAATTTTACCATTACCATAATGGAAATATTATCAAGTATATGAAAATTTTACTTTATGGCTTAAATCATAGTGTAGATTGGAATCTCCAGCCTTGAATGGAAACCAATCTGCGAGAAAGAAACCTCTGAATTCCAAACCATGAAGGAAGCACTCCATTAGTTCTGTAGAGAGCTATTTATCAGCTATGTCCTGAAGAGAGATGGCATTTGAAAAACATTATAAAGCATCATGAGCCATCTCCAATAATCATAAAAGTATTATGAAACATTTTGTACTAAGATAAATAAGCACTCAAGAACAGTATCCTAATCTGTGAAACATCAGATCATATAATAATTAACAATGTGTATTTATTTCGATATTTCCTGTCCAATCTGTAGTGGGAAGTGAGGTAATGCAACTTAAGTTACTAAATTTATTAGTGATTACTAGTGGTAAAGCACACTGGATCAAATGGTGGTTTCTCCCACAAAGGGGGACACAGGTTCAATCCATTTTGGAGAGTATATCTTCTTAAGATTTCTGAAATGCACAGGTCAGCAGGCATAATACACGCTGTTTAAAATAAAAATAGGGTGCCTATTTCAAATATGAGTATTCACTATAATAATTTTTGAAGTATTGAAAAAATAAAATAAAAATTTTGTCTTAAGAATAAATCCATTAATATATATATATATATATATATATATATATATATATATATATATATATGCACACTGCAGTTCAAAAGTTTGAAGTCACCCCTAGAATTAGCATGGGATGAACTTGACAGAAGACCAAAAAAAAAAAAAAATGAAAAAAAGCTCTTAGAGTCATTGAATGCATATTTTATCAAAGTTATAATAATCTAATTTTACAAACTTTGGGTTTGGGTTCTTACACCAAAAAAAGGTAAAATATCAATATAGACATATGTCCAAATGGGCCATCATTGTACCTCAACACAGCAATTCATAACAACTGTTTGAAATGTCCTCTACTTGCTTCTACATATGCATGCACCCATCAGATCATTGACTGGCAGACCCTTTCAAATACTCCCATACAGTGTTGAATGGTTTTGCAGGCCTACAGGATATAATGAAGCATCTCTGCATTATTAATGTCTGCTGCATAAACCAATTGTTTTAGGTGGCCTCACAGATAAAAGCCCAAAGAATTGAGGTCAGTGGAACTTGCATACCATGGAATCGGTCCTTCCCTACCTATCCATCATTCATGGTAGATGTCAGCCAGTGCGTTGCTAACAATGTGACTAAAATGTGCTGGAGCCCCATCATGCATGAACCCAATGTGTCTTCATATTAGCAGGGGTACCTTCTTGAGCAGGTCTGGAAGTGTGTTAGAAATAAATTCCCTGTAGACAGCTCCTGTATGATGTGCTGGGAGAACATATGGACCTACCAGGCAGTCACCTACAATTCCTGCACACACATTAATCATAAAATGATGCTGGTGTCTAGCCTGTATTGTACAATGGGGATTCCAATCTGCACGCAAATGTTGGGTGTGTAAATTTGTTATTCCATCTCATCCAAATGTTTCAGCATTCATAAACAAGACAAACAATGGATCAATAGTTTGTGCAATAAACCATTGGCAAAAGTTTTCCCATAGTGAACGATCAGAGGCAAAAAGCTTTGCACCTATTGCAAATGATACAGATACAGGAGCTATGTACAACATGTTAGGGCTACTTGACATGAATCATCTCTGACAGCCTGTATAATGTGTTCTTCATAGTCAGGCATACAAGCAAACCTCAGTCTTCTTCAATCTATAGTTTGTAGGCCCACGGTTCTTGTTTCAGTGACACAATGATAAACAGCAGCAAAGGTTAGATGACTTGGCTGTCTTCAGTCTGGAAACTCAATCTGATACAGACATACAGCCTCACATCCATTATCATTCACATGGCCGTATGTAAAAATTATATCTGCCTGCTCACGATATGAATATCCTAACATTGTTAAATGGAACACTTTTCAGTTAACTCACTGAACACATGCTAAATGTTGAAGACAGACTTGCCACAAATGTACATGAATGACAAATGTAACCTAGTCTATATAGCAACACAGTGCCAGCTACCATAAACTTTCTTTAAATGTAATCACTTAAAAATGAAGGATTTGCAAATATGTGTTTATATGGACTTTTGTTCTTGTTTTGGCATGAAGAACCAGCCCCACAAAATTTGCAAAAGTATTTTTGATACACCCTGTGTGTGTATATATATATATATATATATATATATATATATATATATATATATATATGTGTGTGTGTGTGTGTGTGTGTGTTGTGTGTATGTATGTATATTACTGAATTAAAAAATGCTCTCTTCATTTTCATTTTTTGATGAGTTCATTTTCACTGTTTTACTTAAATGTATCTTAAATCTGACTTTTTTTTTTCATTGTCTCTCAAGGGAACTGGTTTATTTCCTGAAATGTTTAGGTTTTATTTCTTTATTTTAGTTTGATTCTTACATTTTTATTTTACTCTTCCTTTCTTTTATTTGCTTTTTTTCAGATTATCTAGATATCTTGAAATAGAGTCTGTAAATTAACAATTTATTTTTTGTCTTTTTACCACTTTTTTATCTGCATTTTGACTTTCGTTTATATTATTTAATTTTTTATTTTTAGTCACCAATTGTTTTGATTTTTTCCTTGTTTTTTAACTGCTTCCAGTGGAGTATTTTGCAGCCTTTAGGATTTCATTAAAAAACAAAAACAAAATGTTTAGTCTTTCTCTTTATTTGTTTTTCTCAATAATACAAGCAACTATTGTCAGTTTAGACCTCATTATCAAAAGTAATTGTCCCATCTGCTGCATTAGTTTGATATGATTAAAGCTAAAATTCTACAAGCACCAATTAATGACTCTGATTGGTTGAGCTCCAGACCACAGACAGTTTCATCTTGCTTTCATTCATCCACCATGATGATACATAAACACTAGCAGCAACAAGTGAAGTGACAAGTATAGTAAAGAATAATGATTGATTAAATCTATAGCAGGTGGGAAACAAATGGAATTGGGTTGGAATACAGAGGGTTTATATGATGCGATTTAAGCAGAAGGTAACCAGATAAGAAGAAACTTAGGTTATGTGGGTTTTTTTTTTATGTGAGCGAGAATTTTATGTGGATATTTGTGATGTGATTAAAATCTTAGAAATAAAAATGGAGGAATAAAAATGGATGAATTTTAAATATTCAGGAAAAAAAGAAAAGAAATGATAGAAAGAAAAGCAATAGAAATGAAATAAACAGTCAGAAGAGAAAATAAAGATGAAGAAAAGTAGTATTTGAAAAGAAAAGAATTAAGGTTAAAATAAAAAGGAAAGATCTGGAAAACAATGAAAAAAAACAAAAGAAGAAAATTTAAAGAGAAAAAAATGGAAAATAGATATTTGAAAAGAAAAAGAGCTAAAGAAGCTGAATGATGAGGATGAATGAAAAAGAATAAAGAAATCTAAAGAAAAGCAGATGTATTAAAGGAAGAAATATGTAGATAAGTGGTAAGGATGAATAAAAGAAAGAAAAATAGACAGACAGATTTGTATGAGAAGCAAAGACAAAAAGTAAAATGAAAGAAAAGAATCTACAGACAAATGATATGAATAAAAAAGGAGGATGAGGAAATTCAAAGAAAAACAAAGGTGGAAAATATTTGTGAGAGAGAGAGAAAGAGACAGAGAGAAAGAGGGAATAAAACAGGTAGAAATTAAAGAAAGAAAAGGTAGAAAGAAAAAACAGAGAAAAGAATCTGGAGGCAAGTGATGAGGATAAAAAAAAAGATGAAAAAGAAATTCAAAGAGAAACAGATGTGCAAAGGATTTGGAAAAATGGAGGAGATAACAGACAGGGAGAGAGAGAATGAGAGAATGAAAGAGATGGAAATCAGAGAGAGGAAAGACAGAAAGAAAAAAGTGACAAATAGATCTGAAGACAAGGTATGACGATAAAAAAAAGGATAAAGAAATTCAAAGAAAAACAAAGGTGGAAAAGATCTGGGAGAGAGAGATGGAAGGAAAGAGAGTGACCATCAAATAATTAGAAATTAAAGAATGAATGCCGAAAGAAAAAAGAGAGAAAAGAATATGCAGACAAGTGATGAGGATCAAAAAAAGGAGGATAAAGAAATTCAAAAACATACAAAGGAATTGAGAAAAGGACATAAAAGGCAGAGAGAGAGAGAGTTAAACAGATATAAATCAAAGAAAGGAAAAACAGAAAAGAAAGAAGAGCAAAAAGAATATGCAGACAAGTGATGAGGAGAAAAAGGAGAATAAAGAAACTCAAAGAGAAACAAAGATGGAAAAGTTCTTGGGTGGGTGAGAGAGATGAAAGGAATGAAAGAAATGTAAATTACAGAAAGGAAAGAGAGAAAGCAAAAAGAGAGAACAGAATCTGTAAACAAATGATGAGAATAAGAATGGTGGATAAAAAAATTCAAAGAGAAACAAAGGTGGAAAAGATTTCCGAGTGTAAGAGAAAGAGAATGAAACAGATGGAGATTTAAAGAACGGAAAGACAGAAAGAAAAAAGAGACAAATAAATCTGCTGACAAGGTATGAGGATAATAAAGGAGGATAAAGAAATTTAAAGAGAAACAAAGGTGGAAAAAATTTGGGAGTGAGAGATGGAAGGAGAGAGAGTGACAATCAAACAGATAGAAATTAAAGAATGAATGCTGAAAGAAGAAAGAGAGAAAAGAATATGCATGGTGAGGATGAAAAAGGTGAAAAAAGAAAGAAAATAAAGAAAGAAAAAAGAATGAAACAAAATGGCAGTGATAGAATAAAGGATGAAGAAAAAGAAATTCAAAGGGGAAGCAAAGGTGGAAAAGATATTTGAGATTGAGTGATGGAAGGAGAGAGAGAGAATGAAACAGAAATTAAAAATAGGAAACACAGAAAGAAAAAAATGGAGAGAAAAGAATCTGCAAGCAAGTGATGAGGATAAGAATGGGAAGATAAAGAATTTCAAAGTGAAAAAGAAGCTGGAAAAGATTTTGGAGTGCAAGATAGATAAATAGTGAGAGAATGAAACAGAAATTAAAGAAAGGAAAGCCAAAAAAAGAGAAAAAAGAATTTGTAGACAGGTGATGAGGATAAAAAAGAGGGATAAAGAAATTCAAAGAGAAACAAAGATGGAAAAGATTTGGGAAAGAAAGAGAGAGAAATGGAGTTAGAGAAGAGATGGAAAATAAGGAAGGCAGAAAGAAAAGAGAGAAAAAAGTATATGCAGAAAAGCGATGAGGATAAAAAAAGGAAGATGAAAAAAATTCAAAATGATATAAATGTGGAAAGCATTTGGGAGAAAAAGAGAGACACATGGAAAAAGAGAGTGAATGAAACAGTTGGAAATTTAAGAATGGAAAAACAAAAAAAATAGAGAAAAGTATCTTCAAACAAGTAATGAGGATAAAAGAAGAGAGTACAGCAATTCAATGAGAATGAGAGAGAGAGAGACTGAAGGAGTGACACAGAGAAAGAAATAGTTGAAAATTATAGAAAGGAAAGACAATAAAAAAGAGAGATATAAAATCTGCAGACAAGGATGAGGATAAATAAGGAGGATAAAGAAATTCAAAGAGAAACAAAAGGGTAAAAGATATTGGAGATAGATAGATATAAAGAGTGTAAAATAAGGAAAGGAAAGAGAATGAAAAAAAGAAAGAAAAGAATATATAGACAAGTGATGGGGGTAAAAAATTATGATAATGAAATAAGAAACAAATGTGGAAAAGATTTGGGAGAGTGAGAGAGAGATGGAAGGAAAGAAAGAGAAAATGAAGCAGAAGAAAATTAAAAATAGGAGAAGCAGAAAGGAAAAAAAAGAAAAAAATTTGCAGGAAAATGATGATGATGATGATGATGATAAAAAAATGAAGGATAAGCAAATTCAAATAGAAACAAAGATGGAAAAGATTTGTGGGAGAGTGATAAAGAAATGAAAGAGTGAAAGATCTCCAGTGGAAGGTGTGGAATGGAAAAACTGAAAGAAAAAAATGATTGGAACACACAGACAATATATGAAGAAGAAAGAGGGAGAAATAGAAAAAGACAAACTTTGTAAATAAACGAAAAGAAATAGAAAATGGTAATTGAAGTTATGATGAAACTGAAGAGATAGAGAAGCAGCAAAAATCATTTAAAAAAGAAAATACAGAAGTTAACTAAAAACAGAATCAAAATTCTTTTGCATAAAACACCTTTTTTTTTTAAGCAAAGCTGAACAAGAAAGTCAAAATGGAAAAGTTGTTGATGCTGATATTTGAGAAGAAAAACAAACATTGAATATTTCAAAAACAAGAAATAAAAGAAAAAACAGAAAAGGCAAGAAAAATTTTCAAAACAAATATTCAAGAAATAAGATCTCATGGCAAAATACTCACACCCATACAGATGTATATATATATCTATATATCTATCTATCTCTCTCTCTATATATATATATATATAATTTTTGGCCATATTGGTTCTTTATCATTTTTGTATATATTTTTGCAATGGTTTGTTTTTGGTCCTTAATAAAATGATAAAAATTCACCATATAATTTTCTTTTGTTTTTTTTTTCTTCAAAAGGATAGTGGCAAGAAAAATGCTACAGAAGTGAGAGAGGTTGTAACAAAAGTTTTCCATGCATTCCATCCCCAACCCCAAAATTATAAAAGAATAATATAAAAACATTAAATATATTCAAGGAGATAAAGAAAAACTTAAATAAAAATAATAACGACAAAAATATACTGAAGTAAAAACATATAATTGAAAGTAAAAAGGAAAATCTTCACTTCCCTGAAACCAAAGTATATATATTATAAAATCTCAAACATAAAAAAAATGAAAATACTAATAAAAGAGATGACCATAGTAAATAATAATGGTACTGATAGCACCAAAAGCAGTAATGATAATGACATTAACACTGAAAAATAATAAAAAAACAATGTAGAGCAATAATAAAATTCTCAAAAGATATTAAGACAAAAAAGATTACTAAGGAAAAGAGAATAAATAAAACTAACATAAAAAATGGAAAAAGGTGAAATACAAAAATAAATAATATTTATTTTCTTTCTCTGATTTTAGTTAGAACAGAAAACCAAAATTAATAACAAGAATTTATAAACTATATATATATATATATATATATATATATATATATATATATATATGTGTGTGTGTGTGTGTGTGTGTATATGTGTATATATATATGTATGTATATATATATATATATGTTTGTGCATATGTATGTGTCTGTATATATATATATATATATATATATATATATATATATATATATATAAAGACAAAAGGAAAAATTTCTTTTGTTCTTATTCATATTGTCCTTATTTTTAGCTATACCTGAAATCTTATACACACAAACACACATACACACACATACATATATATAAGCAGTATATATATTTATATATGTATTAATATTTAAGGGTAAAATATTATAAAAGTAAATACTGAAAAACAAGAAAAATAAACGTAAATTTAAAAAAAAAAAGGATGCTATAAATATTATTACTACTACTAATAAAAACAGCCATGAAAAAATAAAATAAAAATAAAATATAAACATGTTTATTAAATCAAAAAATAAATAAGTAAAAATTGAAATTACCGCAAAAATTAAAAAGAAAAGAATTTTAAAAAAAAATGCTCTTTAGTCTGCTAACACACAACAATAACAACAATAATAATAATAAAACAGCAACAACAAACAATGTTTCTCAGTAAAAGACCATATCTGTTTCAAGAGCCACATATCGCCACCGGGCAGGTATGAAAAAATAAATAAAAGAAATGTAAAGATTATCTTTCCGATGAACTTCTCATATGTTCATAATAGAGATAAAATTGATGTAACAAAATGGCGCCCATTCTAAAATGGTGGCTTAAATTGATGCAAAGAACTTTGCAAGAGCATCCAATCTTGTAGCTGCAGGCGACAAAAAACTTTGCTTTGTGTTGACGTCGTGTTGAGGTTATCTGAAGAAGTCGCTGTGATATATGACGAGTCTGTGTTGCCTTGGGTATTTCTACGACAACCCAGACAGTTTAAGCTCACTCTGTAGAATTGGGAGGTTACTTTTTATTCTACACAATCAAACTATGTGTCATTATTATTACAAGATAGATACAAACAGACTGATATAGATAAATGGACAGATAGATAAGAACAAATTTAAGTAGATAAATAGAAAACAAAGTTGAGTAGATAGGTAGGTGTGGCAGCTTTTACAAATTTTTTTTTTTTTTTTTTGAGAAAGAGAAGACTTTAGTGAAGAGAAAGGACAATAAAAGAACAGGATCTAGGAAGACAAAATAAGGTGATTAATATTGCATTTAAATTTTTTAAAATTGTTGGTGTCAGGAAATCAAGAAGCCAGAAAGAGTTCCAGAAGTGAGAAGTGTGTGAAAAGAGACTATTAGAATAACACAGTTTCATGTAGCTATTTCAGCAGTAAAACAATAAGACCTATTAGCCAATCTAGTAGTATGCTTAAATTTATATGCTTCTGGTACCAAGGAGGAGAGTTTATTAGAACAACTTCCTTGGAAATATTTATAGAAAAGGCAGTGTGAAGCATGGTCACGGAAGTGGGAAAGTGACTGAAGTTGAAATACCAGTTCAGGATTGATAATATAACAGACCCTTTAAATTTTGTTGAGAATCACAAGATATTTAGCTGAAGCACGAGATCAGATATGGCAGCAGTATTCAGTGCATGGATGAATGGTAGATTTATAAATATCCAAGATGGATTCCGATGAGAAAAATTGTCTCATACAACAGTGAATCAACTTTCTTATCATTCAAAAAGTGTAGTTGGTTCTGCACAAAGCCTTCACCAGTATAATCAAATCATATGTGCTGGTGTCTGGCTGTTGGTTCCTAGGAACTGAGCTGCTTGACCCTTATATGTTGAATACAATGGGAGAGTCCATTATATATTATAATATATTTATATTTAATATATTTGGATTCTATATTTATTGATATAAATATAAATATATTAATAATATAAATAATGAATGTTAGTATATTGAAAGTATAATAGTAAGAGTTCTTCTTTTTGATTGGTTGATAAACAGATTTTAAGAGTTCAATCTGCCCTGCTGTTTAAACCCATAGGTGTGAGTTGTGGAGAAGAGATTAATAGTATAGTATATCAAAAGTATATATAGTATATCTAAATATTGAAAAATAATATTATTGTAGCATACCTATGGATGATAATGTGTATGTCCCCATTCACATAAATACAGTAGTAAATACTGTATGTTGGTCTGCAGTTAGAGATTCATTGTAGAATTCACTTCTTCACTAACTTCTAGCAGTTGACTACTTGTTCTATGTGCTGCTCGGAAATCTTAGATGTTGTGTTCCTGTCATAAGTGTTATTAAAAAAGAAAGAAAAGAATATATAGGCAAGTGATGGGGGTAAAAAATCATGATAAGGAAATAAGAAAGAAATGTGGAAAAGATTTGTGAGCATGAGAGAGAGAGAGACTGAAGGAGTGACACAGAGAATGAAATAGTTGAAAATTATAGAAAAGAAAGACAATAAAAAAGAGAGAATAAAATCTGCAGACAAGGATGAGGATAAATAAGGAGGATAAAGAAATTCAAAGAGAAAACAAAGGGGTAAAAGATTTTGGAGATAGATAGATATAGAGAGTGTAAAATAAGGAAAGGAAAGAGAATGAAAAAAGAGAGAAAAGAATATAAATAGGATAAAAAAAGAGGATAAAGAAATTCAAAGAGAAAACAAAAGGGTAAAAGATTTTAGAGAGAGATAGATATAGAGAGTTTAAAATAAGTAAAGGAAAGAGAATGAAAAAAGAAAGAAAAGAATATATAGACAAGTGATGGAGGTAAAAAATGATGATCAGGAAATAAGAAACAAATGTGGAAAAGATTTGGGAGAGTGAGAGAGAGATAGAAAGAAAAAGAGAGAAAATGAAGTAGAAGAAAATTAAAGATAGGAGAAGCAGAAAGAAAAAGAAAAGAGAAAAAATCTGCAGGAAAATGATGATGATGATAAAAAGATGAGGATAAGCAAATTCAAATAGAAACAAAGATAGCACTCCTCTCAATAATACAGTGTAGATGGAATATAACTCTTCCCGAGGTTACAACATTAGATTATTATATATAATGAGGGTGAAGTGACTACAAATGGTCCCAACTGAAATTTGAACTCACAGCAACAATTCCATTTTTTTGAGTTGCTAGCAACAAGCAACTGCAATCAAAATATATAGTAATTGCAAGCAAAAAATTGCAGTGTGTCCTTGATGGAAATGAGGTGA